CCCTAAACCCTAGGCTTTAATCCTAAACCCTAAACGCCACCCGCATTATTAAGTGCTCAGAGTTTGGGGCCGGGGCGCGCTTGCAGCGCTTCGTCCCTGGGTATAGAGTATATGGAATGTATCTTTTAGGGTTTATTAGGGTTTATGAGGATATTTTAAGGTGTATTAGGGCGCAGCTGGGTTTCTAGGGTTTACTGCGGTGCGCTAGGGTTTTTTCCGGCGTATCCGGTTGTACTAGGGTTTGTAAGGGTTTATTCGAGTTGACTAGCCCATTTGGCTTACTAGGACCTAGGGGCTAGGGTTTGCGTTGTTCAGGTTTAGGGTTTAGGGTTTAGGGTTTATGGCTTATCTTCTAGGGTTTAGGGTCTAGATTTATCAGGTTGTATTATTGTGTAGGGTTTGTGTCGTTCAAGTTTAGCTCTTTTTGGGTGTATTAGGGTTTATTAACATTTAGGGTTTAGGGTTTAGGGTTTCGGGTTTATGGTGTGTAGGTATCTGACGATGGAGCTGAATAACCTTTCTCCCGACTACGAAGCGCATGCAGCCCCAACAGATTCAAGAAGAAGGCCAGACCAGCGACTGTATGAAGCGGGCAGAGTAGAGGAGGCAGTCGAGCAGAAAAACAGACTAGNAAAAACAGACTAGAAGAGAAACAAAGGTACATAAACCCTAAACCCTAAACCCTAAACCCTCAGTAAACCCTAGTAAGCATTAAACTGCTGCATGATGCAGGAAGGGTAGGGGAGACAGTCGAGCAATAAAACAGACTGGAGGAGAAGCAGAGGCAGTCCCAAACCCTAAACCCTAATAAGCCCCAAACCCCCGTAAACCCTAAACCCTAATAAGCTGTAGTAAACCCTAATAAACCCTAACGAACTTTAGAGCCTACACGCTGGCACAGGCAGGGGGCATAAAGCTCTCAGCAAGCGTGTTGCAGGGCTAGCTGTTAGGGTTAGGGTTTGGTATTTAGGGTTTAGGGTTTAGGGTTTAGGGTTTGGGGGCGTGCAGGGAGGCTGCGAGAGCGCGGCCTCATGGAGAGCGCGATTATGTACCCTGTTGGTTTGAGCGGCAGCAGAATTCTGAAGATTGGGTCTATAAGGTAAACCCTAAACCCTCATAAACCCTAAACCCTCATATTTCCTAAAGGCTGGTAAACCCCAAACCCTCACAAACGCTAAAATCTTAGAGCGTAAAGAGCCCCAAACTCTGCGACATACATTGCAGGTTCGAGGGTGTTGTTTGTA